TTAGCCGTTTAGGCTACAAACTCTAACAAACATCCCTCCATCGATCCATCCATCTAAACTTTCGCATTTATAATATTAGTGTGAAGTATGATTTGCATTTGATTGTTTTTTCGCTAAGGCCAACGAGTTTGCCCTCAACTCTGCTGACTTAATTATAACCAAAAAATGTTTGGACTCGTAACATACAGCCCGTTAGTACTTAGTAATAAGAATCTACAAGGAAATTTGATCATATCTGACCTTGAATGTACCACAAATACGTTTGATAAAACTTTAAGGAAAACTCCAAATTGTATGAAATAAACAGGTTTTATTTCGAATCTGTTAACCTAAGATTGTGTCCATGTCAACAAAATTTACAGTTATGGAAGAGTATGAAAGTAGAAAGCGTCTTTAGTATTGTCTAGAACTTATAAAAAAAAGTAAATTTATGGAATATTTAGAATCTATATAATTTTATAATTGTGCACTATTGGTATAAGAATAAGAAATTAGTTTGATAAATGATGCATATGAAGTATCGAATTCAATTTCTATGAAAGTAAATGCCATACTTAATAGACAGGTATCGTAGTGACGAAACAAACACGCAGCGAACAATTTTGAACTATCGATATTCAGTCTAAATACCATTTTTTTTAAGTATACTTTATTACTATAAAAACAGTCCTGCAAAGATTTTTTTAAATGTAATGTGATTTAGTGGCAAAATTTAATCATTAAAAAGTGTCTTTTTCAAATTCCCTCGCTAAGTTCTAAAACGCACACTATTGGTCGAAGCAAGTAGCTTATCTAATATGGCGTTGCTGTGTTGACAATACACAGTTCATTTACGTTAGTTTATATAGAAATACACTCTTGAAGTATTTTACTGTAAACACGATATCAAAACCAACAGGAGGATAAGGGTAGGCAACGCATCTGCATTTGCGGATGTCTATGGGCAGCGGTCGGTTCGCTATTTTGCGGACTCAGGTGGCCGCTTGCTCGTTTGCCACCATATATTATATAAAAAAAATACATGTAGAGCATAGTCTAGCACACTTGGTTACTTACTTTTTTAATTCCACGTGGAAGGAGTTGCGGGTGTAAGGTAGTTGATATATCTAAATGAATATGTTTCCTTGTACATCAACTTATTCTTTACAAAAAACCAAAATATAAACTACACTACATAGAAAACTTGTTTCGCATTTTTTTTTACATTTGACGTTTTAAAAACTAGTCGGCCAGTGTTCATTGTGTTTTGTAGAAGTAAAGTATTTGAGAATATTGTGATTATTATAGTGTTTTAATATGTTTTTTGTTATTAAATATTAATGAACAATATGCAGTAACTACTTACTTTCATGTATCGGTAAGTATTGGCTTATTTAATAAAGATATGCGGTAATACGGCTAAGGATGAAATATAAGAAACATTTCATCTTAGTTTAGTTCTTTTAGACCATTTTTTTAATTGATTATTAAAAAGAAAAGCAAAAATCTTACTAATATTATAAATGCGAAAGTTTAGATGGATGGATGGATGGATGGAAGTTTGTTAGAGTTTGTAGCCTAAACGGCTGAACGGATCTCCATGAAATTTGGCACATATATAGAGCATAGTCTAGAAGAACACATAGGCTATTTTTTAATCCCGGGAATAGTTACGGTTCCTGTGGGATTTATTGATTTTGTTTTTTAATGTTTACTCGATCATTCTGCAACGGTTCAATATATCTTATTGAAATTTGGCACAAGTATAAAACAAAGTCTGGAGTACACATGGGATAAGGTTCATCCCCGAAAATGTCCGGTTCCCGAGGGATACGTAGCTTTTTGTTATTTAAATAGTATGTTTTCTAATAACCCGGGGACGAAGTCGCGGGCAACAGCTAGTAAGATTCATAAATATTATTTTGCAATTATCAGCCAGTAATATTTCATACCATTTAGTATGTCGTACTCCATACATATTATTAAGAAGAAAATTAGTACCGTGCTCTAGAATTGATGCAACACTAGATTGTCGGCATAAACGTCACATCCCTAACTGACAGCTGTCAATGTCATGAGAAGGATTTATATATTCGCGCGCATTCCGGACAAGATCTCTAGTGCAATGTTAAATTAATATCGCTAGTAACTATATTAAAATTATATTAATTGTTTAAAAATACCTATTTTAGACATTGATATAATTGTAACAACGTAGTTAATTTCAACACACAGAACGCTAACTCCCGCTAGAATGGCGCGCGATTCTTTTTGGTGAATGACATTGACAGATGTCATAGGGATGGGACGTGTGTGCCGATGATGTAGTGTTGACGTTATCCAGTGTGGTACCGGTTTTCTTCTTAACACTATAAACCGTAATATCTGTTACTTTAAGCATATTTCTCATAGTCCATCCTGTTTCTTTAATCTTTCTTTACCCTTTTGCATGAAATTTTGAAATATATTATTGTTACAGACATGGCGGTGATAAAATACCTTTGGTTTCTTGTGTTATTTGCGTTAAAAGAAGCGTGTGCTGACCTCAAATGTGAAATACAAGATGATGATGGTGAAATATTGAAATGTACAAATGACGAGGTATATAATTTAGTACTGCAAAGAGGATTCTTGTCGTCTTACCGAAATGCTACTACTATTATAATGAATTTGTGCTCCATAGTAAATATAGACACGGAGGTATTCGAAGATGTACCTTCATTGAAGACTCTCGATTTATCAGTAAATTATATAGAGAATATAACAATCGGCACTTTTGATGGACTAACTGAATTAGAAGAATTAAATCTATTCAATAATTATATTGAAGATCTACCGGTTGATATATTTAAGTTTAACGTTAATCTAAAAAAACTTAACATAGGAGATAATGTTTTGTTTTGGTTAAATGTTGGCGTCTTTGATAGTTTAGTGAATTTGACAAGTTTGGTCCTATCCAGCAATTACATAGCTGGGAATTATTGGGATCCTGAAGTATTTAGAAGAAATGTCAATATAATGAATATACAATTTAATGGTAACAATATGTCCGAAGCCCCACAAAATTTGCTAAGTCGCTTTGATAAGTTAATTTCTGTAAATCTTAAGAATTGTCACCTTACAGAATTCCCAGCATTTCTTATATCAAGTAATAAAACAAATGTAATAATTTTAAATCTACGAGAAAATGAAATTCGAATAATTGAAAAGGACTTCTTCGAGAATTACGAAATTATATCTATATTAGATTTGTCTCGAAATCAAATTGAATACATAGCTGAGTATTCCTTCAAAAGCATGAAGAAACTGACATTTTTAAATTTGAGCAGAAATTTATTGACTACCTTACCACACGGATTATTTGCAACCACGTATAGATTATCTCTACTAGATTTGTCTCATAATATGCTCACTGTTTTACAAGAGGATTTATTCAAAAGAACTAAGTTGAAAAACTTAAATGTCGCTTACAATCGACTGACTTACTTACAGCAAGATTTCTGCCAGCAACAGAAGAATACGGGAGCCATTTTAAAGATTTTCTTTTTCAACCACAATCCATGGCAATGTGCTTGTTTAAAAGAATTGTTGAACGAAGTTAAAAGATCTAGAATTAATTATAACTTCACTTATTTTGACGGCGTTCAGCCAGTTTGTGTCACTGAAGAGTTTGTATGCAAAAGACAAGAAAATGTCAACAGCTTCTATGCAGATTTATTTGATAGTACTGTAAAAAACGTTATGTAAATTTGACATTTTATACAAACAGCCTATTTAGATTTTAAGCTATGCAAAGTACTTGAGTTGTCACGTCGGCTGAAAGACTGTTCATATTCCTGACGTGCCAAATCAAATTCGTGGTATTTTTACTTCACTGACTGCTGTCGTCACTTTCACCGTTATTTAAACAATTATATGTTTGTTTTAATATTATCCTAAATTTAAACTAAATGACTTCCTTTGTGACCACTTAACCTCTCTGAGAGCAAAGATTTGTATTTTGGTATGTATTGAAATAACTCGAAAACTAGGTCGATATTAAAAAATTCTTTCATCATTAAAAAGGTAATTCATCTGTAAGTAATATAGGCTACTTATTAATTTCACGCGGACGACGTCACGAGCACCACCTAGTCTATACTAATATTATAAAAAGGAAAGATTGGTATTTTATTGTAAGTTTAATTTAACAGTGGTAGTGCCCGCTTTAACATCTTAGCACGAATGTGCCGGCACGCCCGGTGTAATACCACGACCACACAGAAGACAGGCGTGAAATGGGAGCAATTCCGTGTTTCGTCTGATAAGTGTGGTGCCGGAGGCCTAATTTAAGTCCCTTTCTCTTTACCACTCTTTTCTTATAAGGAAAAGTTGGGAAGAGGAAGTGGATTTGACGGTGGGGGTGATGCATAGGAAGGGGAAATATCCTCTTTATGTGCGTCTCCTCCTCCGTCGTATAAGGGAAAGCAACGCATCTGCAATTGCGGATGTCTATGGGCAGCGGTCGCTTCGCCATTTTGGCGGTTTCAGGTGGCCGATTGCTCGTTTGCCACCTTACGTTATAAAAAAAAAGAAACTCAAAAACTACTAGACCAATTTTAAAAATTCTTTCACATTAAAAAGCTACGTTATCAGTAGGTAGTATAGGCTTTATATTTTCATACGCATGAAGTCGCGAGTAACAGCTAGTAGTAACCATTTTAGATGAATGTTTATATTCAAATCTATATTGCACAAGCTTTACGAACAACAACATAAAAAAACTACGCTCGCATACGTTAAACGTGTTTCCCTTATTATTCTGTAGTACAAAAACTTGTGAACGAACAAACTAGTTGATCAGTGTATATTAAGATGTGTCTAAGTAAGGTACTTTGTGCTTATCTCTTAAACATTTGTTAAATGTTTTCTAAAACTTAAGATTAACTAATAATGTGCTGTATGCAGTAACTTAAGTATAGATGAATACGTAAGTAACGGTGATTTAATTAAATACTTTTGAATAATTCTGGATTGCTTTTGCTTGCTGGAATAACGATTTGCTTCTGATGTTGTGTCCTTACAGTTTACTAAGCAAAATCTGATATATGTTACTTGCTTACTTCTTATTTAACTAATTATTATAAGTACGAAAGTTCAGATCGATGATTGTTTGAGTTTGTAACCTAAACTGCGGAACGGATCTCGATGAAATTTGACATATACGCCGACTATAGTCTGGAAGAATACATAGGCTACTTACTCATCATCTTCCTTCTTATCCTACTTCCGTAGGCGCAACAGGCTTTTATCCTCAACATAACTGTATCATACGTCATCTCAGTCACTCTCTTCTTGATCATGTCACATTTCACGCAATCCATTCATCTCTAACCCATAACTAACTTCCTTGTTACATGCGATCCATCCCTCCTCATAACATACCTACTAACCCTCTCTTTTCTTTCTCTACCGCTGGATCACTGGGGCTACTCATTTCGTTTCCTATCCATTTGTGTTACCCCACACTAAGCCACTTACTAACTTTAAAAATTAACTTTTAAAAAGAGTTATTTGTTATAATCAAATATGATATTGTTACAGAAATGGCGGTAACAAAATACTTATTGTTTCTGATTATACATGTATTTGCGTTAAAAGTCTATGGTAAATTCACATGCGAAATTCAAGACGATGATTATGTAATTGATTGCGGTAATTATAATGCGACTGACTTTGTATTGCAAAGAGGTTTGCTGTCACCATTTAGGAATATTAGAACTCTTTTATTGAACATCTGTCATATAAAACATATAGAAACGGATGTATTTGAAGAGGTACCTTTATTAGAGAGACTCGATTTGTCAGAAAATCAAATAGAAAATCTCACAATTGGTACTTTCGATGCACTAACAGAATTAGAAGAATTAAATCTATCTGATAATTATATAACATATCTACCAGTTGACATATTTAAGTTTAACGTTAAACTGAAGAAACTTGATTTAGGACATAATGCAATATTCCAGTTAAATCTCGGTGTCTTCGATAGTTTATTGAATTTGACAATTTTAGTATTATCAAAGAATTTAATCATTGGAAATTATTGGAATCCCGATGTATTTAGGAGGAATATCAATGTTGAGACCATACAATTTTCTGGCAACAATATGTCCGAAGCACCTCAAAATTTGTTATCACACTTTGATCGATTAAATAGTGTGAGTCTAAGGAAATGTCATCTGACAGAATTTCCTACATTTCTTATATCGAGTAATATAACAAGCATAATACATTTAAACCTACGACAAAATAAAATTGGAATCATAAAAATGAATTTCTTTGAGAATTTTGAAATTCTAGCAATATTAGATTTGTCTCGAAATCAAATTGAACACATCGCTGAGAATTCCTTTAAAAGCATGAAGGAACTAGTAGTTTTAAATTTGAGTAAAAATTTATTGACTACCTTACCTAATGGATTATTTGAAACCACGTATAAATTATCTCTTCTCGATTTGTCTCATAATATGATCACCGTTTTACAAGAGGATTTATTCAAAGAAACTAATTTGATGGAATTAAGTGTGGCTCATAATAAACTGACCTATTTGCAGGAGAATTTCAGCCAGCAACAGAAAAACTCGGGAGTAATATTAAAGGTTTTTTTCTTCGATTTCAATCCATGGCAATGCGCGTGCTTGAAACATTTGTTAGATGAAGTTAAAGGATTAAGAATTCAATATAATACAAAGTATTTCGATGGCGATCAATCTGTTTGTGTGACAACCAAGGAGTTTCTATGCAAAAGACAAGATATCAACAACTTCCATGAAGATTTCTACAACAGCACATTAAATTATTCTTTACTAGCTTTCGCCCGCGAATCCGCCCGCGTGTAATTAAAAAAAAACAATAGTGAGTAATCTACGAGTATGTGTTCTTCCAGACTATCATCTACATCAATGCAATGCAAATGCAAATACAAACTTAACAAACATCCATCCATCTAAACTTTCGCATTTATAATATTAGTATGAAAGTATGATGATTGAAGTACAATTTCTTTGTAGTCGCAAAATAATATTTAATATAGAACTGTCAATAACACGTGTTTTATTTACCGAAAAATGTAATATGAACAAAGTTATAGAATTAGACAGAAGGAAATTAAAGGGAAGACTAAATTACTGTACGAATGAAATGAAGGGATGTTTGATAGTTTTGAAAAATTAACAAAGTTGAATATATCAGACAACTAGCTGTTCCAGTGCGACTTCAGCGACAATTGCTTCCTTAGTGTTGGCAGCAATTTATGGTCTCTTTCCCACAGTAGGGTTTTTATCCAAAATATTTACCCCCTAAGTTTAATTGCGTTAAAATATATAGCGTAAAGCGTGACGTAAGTGTAGAGCTTTTTATTAAAAAAGGAATTATTCAAAAATATGCTGTAATTCCTGACATTTTAGGCAACAAAGAAGTGTGTGTTTACGCTTTGTTATAATAGTATAGATTATTTAGATGAAAATGAATTGGTTTCCGCATTATTTGTCAAAAATGTTAACATTTCAATCGTTAAATTATCACGTAATAATATGTCTTATACCTTTGACAATTTATTAAGTTTCTCCAATAAATTATTAAGATTGAATTTAAAGAATTGTTTTCTTACAGAGTTTCAATAGTTTATGTTATTGGGCGATAACGGAGCTTTTTAATGTTAGGGAGTTTTTTAAATTGTCCCAGTAGTTTTTGAGTTAATCAAATGTATAGAAAAATGCAAATCTTTCCTTATTACAATATTAGTATCGAAGATATAGAATAAGTAAGTAATAAGTAAAAATTGAAACATTTGAAATACAAAGATTTAAAAATAAATGATTTGTTTTATTAATAATAACATTAAAAAAACTAGATAACATTATCACAACAGCTTATATACAACTATAGTTATTAACAAGATGGCACTTATGTCAGTGTGTAACAGGTTCTCCCTGAGTTGACTGTCATATATTTATTTAACTCCTAACCTCAAATGTAGTGTTATTAATCAGACAAAGGCACATTTTAATGTAATGTCTGTGAAAGATTGGAAACTGTTCATTAATCAATTCGTAATTCTAATCAACTATTGAGGAGTTATTATTTTTTGAAGTTATTTTGGTAAGTACTTATCTAACTTGTTGTTTTTAGGTTAATACGTTAAGTGACTTTGTTTTGGTTTACGGATTTAAATGTCAAATTACTATTAATTACTACTTAATAAGATTTATTTTATTATTTTCATCGTCAAAATATTTAGAGGTTACCTTTTAGAGGTTATTTTCGCATAAGTCGTTCTGTTTACTAGTTAGTTATCCGATTACGTATGCGTCATTACAATAACTGGGTTCGGGGATAAACCTGTGTAAACGAGACCAATATATCGTACTGTTTGTACCATTTGGCAGTTAATCGTCAAAACAATTGAAAATTTTGTATATTTTTATCCGAGATATCGTTTCAATCTAACAAGTGGATTAAAAAAGCTGTTACAAGGTAAATATTGAATTTATTCTATGTTCAAAAATTCTTTTCGTAATCCATTTATTTCCCTATCCTTAATATATTACTGTAGAGCGTACCTGGTTTCCTCCAAGTTCTACCTTCCGTCATCTCAGTTGCTCCCTTCTTGATCACGTCACCTTTCACACAATCCATCTCTTTCTAGGCCAACCGCTACTGTTGTACCTCTACACATAAGAGTTCTGTTGCATTAATTAAAGATTTTGACGTTTGTAAATGGCGATGGCAAAGAATCCAACTGATACTTCTCAAGATCATTACCTAGTTTTATAAAGTTGGGATAAATAATACTTCTCATAAAACAAATGACGACAATAAGGAAAACATTTGTAAAACTAATTTTCATAAGTCGTCATCTATTTAAAGAAAATTTGTATATCAAACTATAGATAATTTAAACTTCTAACGTTACAGATAAGAGGACAATGGCAGTAAAAAGGCATCTGCTTCTTTTGGCTGTTGTATTATTAAATATTGAAGCAAAACCAACATGCAAATTCAATGATGACAGATCAAGATTTTTACAATGTGAACCTGGTGATAGTGATTATATCCTAGAAAGGGGTCTTGTACCCGACAATGCTCGAATTCTTGGTGTGACACTTAAAAATTGCAGCATATCGTCTTTGAAAGTTAATTGTTTCGAAGGATTACCTAAATTAGAAAGACTTGATATATCGTATAATAAAATAACAACACTACCACTCGGAGTCCTAGATAATATACCAGATTTAACATATTTTAATGCGTCATACAACGTTATCACAAATTTACCAGGCGGTCTGTTTAATATGGTTAAAAATTTAATACAATTAGACCTAACTGGAAATCATTTATATGAAATTAATCCAGGATTGATTAAGAAAACAAGCTTATTATATCTATCGAAGAATTATTTACAAGGAAGAGATCTACATCCAAATGTTTTTGAAGTAAGTGATGTTAATTTCCTTTTATTGAATGAAAATGACATGAATGGAGCACCGGATAATATGTTGCGGACTTTAAGAGAACTTCTTTATTTAAATCTAGATGATTGTTCATTAACAGAAGTACCAAGATTTATAACAACGGAAAATTTAAAAACCATAACCCATCTAACAATGGCAGATAACAGAATACGTGAAATAAACGAACCAATATTTAACAACCTAAAGGAATTAGAAGTATTAAATTTAACATTGAATTTAATAGAAAGTTTAAACGATAACTTATTTACACCGTTGAAGAAAATAAAAAAAATCGATTTAAGAATGAATCGATTAAAAACGATCACCGAACATCAATTTCAGAACACACCGGTGTTATCTGAGATTGATTTGTCCAACAATTTAATCACAATTTTACCAGTAAATGCGTTCCGTGCATCTGCATTAAAGAAGCTCGATATATCAAATAACAGATTAACTTATTTACAAGATAACTTTTGTTTAGAATTAAAGAACTCTGGAGCTGTTTTGAGAGATTTTTATTTTAGTGGTAATCCATGGCAATGTGCGTGTCTACGACAATTGTTACGTGAAGTGAAAACAATGGATTTACAGTACGATGATGTTAACTACGATGGAGGACATCGGGTTTGTGTGAGCGCTGGACAATTCGTCTGCAAGAGACAAGTGTACGATAATCAAGTGTTTTTAGAAATGTACGATCGTAATTAAGAGACGCATTTTAAAGTATCTTTATTTTCAAATACTAAGATAGATTTTAAAGTATTTGTAAAATATTATACATCATAGATGTTTAAATCTTATTATATATATTTCATTTTGTAATGCTATGTTTAACTTATTAGTCTACTAGTTTTCGACCGCGACTCCGTCCGCGTGGAATTGAAAAAAACGAAAGTGAGTAGCCTATGTGTTCTTCCAGACTATGCTCTAAACCTGTGCCAAATTTCATCAAAATCCGTTCAGCTGTTTAGGCTACAAACTCTAACAAACATCCATCCATCTAAACTTTCATATTTATAATATTAGTATGATATAAAATTAAGACTATTTCATTGTGCATATTAATAACTTTGTATCTATAAATACTTACAAATATATGAATGAATTAAGGCTTTTATTTTACCTGATACCTGAATTTGATATCCTTTCTTAGATGTTTACTTGCGACCAGAGTAATTTTTCATCTTCACTTCCTACTCTACTCCTTATTCAAAAGCTGGCGAATCTGCACGGATAAACATGTCCTCTATAACGATCTGTATAAACGACTGTCTCTTTACACATTCGTTATTTAACTCACTTACTGGCCCAGCGACCCAAAGTGGTCCTTAGCCTCCGTCACGAGAGAGTACCAGCGTCATCTGGTCTGCGTCGTCACCTGCCTTTTTTTTATTAAAAACTACCTTACTTTAATTATCATTTCAATATTAGCAATGTAAGTTTATGTTGGTATTTGGTATATCGGGATACTCCAGTTTTAATAAACATTACTTCTGTTTTATCACATCGAATGAAAGAGATAGCAATACGTTTCAATAAAGACACTAAGGGTCTGTCCCACCACTGGCTGATAGAGAAATTCCGATATTTTCCTCAAATCTTTTTACGTTGTTATCAGACAAATTATAAGACTTTGGTAGGACTGACTCTTAGACATTTGAATTCGTTAACATTTATGTTTCTTGTTTCAGATAATGATGAAATTTCCTACGATGAAACAAGGTAATAGGATCATAATAGCTTTAATAATTCTGACAGTTAAATGTAAATATCATGTAATTTCGAAAATTGGAAGTGAATCCTTTAATTGTACTTCAGATGGTCATATTTCTGGACTTTAATGAGATTTTACATCAAATAACCAAAGAGTTCTTGATCGGAGTTCTTAACATTCGGAATTCAGTTGAAATACCTCAAACTCGGTTCATTTGTACAATAACAGAATACATACTCTAATAAATATGATAAGAATGACAAAGTTTATCGAAAGTGAATAAAATATGTTTATAGTGCGACAAAACTATCTGTCCCTGATAGTAAACGTAGACTTGATTCTACCGTTTATTCATCTGTCATGCGTCATTTTCTGCGTAAGATACATCCAGATAAATTGGTGGGACTATGGGCCTTTCCAAGCAAATTGTAAATTGTCTGATAACAATCCAACGAAATATCGGATATTATTCCCTTATCTGACAGTGACGTAATTTTTGTACTATCTGAGCCTCTATCAGCCAGTGGTGGGAAGGGCATTATGTTTAAAAAGTTCTACAGCTGAGAAAACTGATTGAAGCCATGATATGAATGTTTAATATTTATTCTTATATTGCAGATAACATCACAATGGGATGGTGGTGGATTGTCGGATTAGCTATGTACGTGAATGCACAGCCATCTTGTAAATTGTACGGTGCATCTAAAACCATAGTATCATGCAAGCCTGGGGATAATGACTACGTTTTAGAAAGAGGACTAGTTTCAGACAACAACAGAACTACCAAGATAACTCTACGTGGTTGCAGAATTACAAATGTCGATTATGAATCGTTCGAAAACTTACCAGCATTAAAACATATAGATTTGTCACAGAATGCTATACGGATGCTTAAATTAGGCGTACTAGATGACGCTTTAGGAGTAACTCACCTCAATTTATCCTATAATATGCTAACTCATTTCCCATTAGGTTTATTCGATCAGAAGACAAAATTGGCAACACTCGATTTAACAGCAAATGCGCTTGTTTCGTTTGAATTAGGAATTTTCGATCCATTAACTAGATTGAAGTCTTTGTATTTGTCTACTAATTCATTTTTAGGTAAAGATTTAAATCCATATTTGTTTGATCAAAATAAAATTCTTTCTCTAATAGATTTTTCAAGAAATGATATGTCTCAATCTCCGGATAACTTGTTACATGCGTTTGATAACCTAGAAATGTTAAATTTGGATCGAACATTTTTATCTGAAGTACCAAAATTTGCGACAATCGCTAATTTGAAATCTTTAAAACAATTAATATTATCTACTAATCAAATAAAAAGATTAGATAATCCGATAGCATTTATTAATTTAGATAACCTAAAAGTTTTAGATTTATCTCAGAATAATTTGGAGTACATACATGAAAATGTGTTTAAACCTTTAAGGAATGTTGTAGGGATAATATTAAAAAGTAACAAATTGACACACTTACCGGAAACATTATTTCAAAATCTACCAAAATTAATAAACGTCGAATTATCTCATAATCATTTGAAAACAGTCAGCGTTGATGGCTTCAAAGGTACATCATTAAAGAATTTGAATTTATCAGACAATAAAATTAGATTTTTGCCGGTAAATTTCTGTTCCAAATTACGAAATATAGATATAATATTAGCTAAGCTTTATTTTATACCGAATCCTTGGGAATGTGCTTGTATGAATGAATTAGTTAGTGAAGTTAAGACGATGAACATTTTGTATGACGGTGGTGATTTTGACGGATCACATCAAGTTTGTGTTGTAACAGGAAAGTTTGTTTGTGATAGAAGTTAACTACCGTTTAAGAGACATTCTGAGTTCTCTAATGATTGTTTTTACAAACCATTCGTTATATTTAAGGCTGCCATACAGCATTCAGTAAGAAAATAGTTTTACTAAGGTTTGGTTTTTTAATTAATTTTATAATTTTGCTGTATCTTAAATCAAAGAAAAGAAAAGTGTGTGAACGAGGATATGCTTAAGAAAGGAGTGGATTCAGATATGACGGCTGATAGAGATGTATGGAGCAGCACATACTGTGCCCTCCGTAAGGGATAAGGGCAAGTTGATGATGATGATGCTTTATCTTAAGACAGATCCTTACGCAGAAACATTTATCTAAGAGTAACTTAGGGCTGGTTAATGTAAATGGCCATTTATATTTTGAATGCGGCATTTAGATAATAATTATTATCTTAATTGATTCTGTATCATATTCTATACTATTTTAATTAATAAAAAAACATTGTTTCATTATGTCTATGTTCTTGTATGGGCAACGGTCGCTTTCCATTTCGGTGCATTCAGGTGGCCGCTGGCTTGTTTGCCACCTTATATTATAAAAAAAAATTCTATGTGATCCTAAATTATTACTGAATAAAATCGCTTTGCAGCCCTAAAAATATGTTTTTCTGCGAAGTTTTTTATACTTTTACTATGCTCTCTTACATTACACTAGCGTATTATAGCTATGTTTATAAGCAACTGGAACTTAATTCGTATGAGTTAGAGATTCAAAAAATATAGAGTAGGCATAATTGAACTTTACTTGATACATTCTTTGCATCATCTCACTAACGCTATCTATACTATTATAATAAAGCGTCAACACACACTTCTTTGTTGCCTAAGATATCAGTAATTACAGCATATTTTTGAATAATTCTTTTTTTTAATAAAAAGCCCTACACTTGCGTCACGCTTTAGGCTATATATTTTCACGACATTAAACTTAGGGAGTAAATATTTGGATAAAAACCCTAATGTGGGAAAGAGACCATAAGTTGCTGCCAACATCAAGAAAGAAGGATTGCTAAGATTTGTCATGTCATGACATTTTGACATTTACTATTGATAATTTGACAAATCTAAACAATAAAATAAAATTTTCATAATTTCATGCGCATGAAGCCGCACGGGAACATCTAGACTATTGATAAATCCTCAAAATCATATGCTAATTGTTAAATGCCAATAAGTTTCATTGAATAATATTAAAATATTTATGTTTTGTTTTGTAAGACTGTTTAGTTTATTTTATAACCAAAGATGGAGTTTATTATAATTTTGTAAAATGTTTTATTACAAGTCAATACAACACGAGGTGGCACTAAACTTGACAACTGAAATAGTACCTTTTAGAGAAAGTACCGGTGAAAAAATTCTGTTCACTATGTCTCTTCTATGTATTTCTTAACTGCATGTACATGTACATAATATGCGTACTTCATTGCATGGGGAAAACCGAACGTTCGTCGTATGTTGTCCGCATAACTTAGTAGTTTTGTAGCGCAGAAGCCTCCACCGAATCAGGCTTAATCTTTAATTTTACTTTTTACTTATAAAAGTGTTTAATCTCAATTGTAACGGTGAGTAAATTATTTATTATTTATCGTTTGGTGTTTTCTATAAACATTTGGAAATTCTCTTGGAGTTTTGCCAGATTACATTGACGTGTATCCAATAGTATTAACGCAACAAATCTTTCCTCTTTACAATATTAGTATAGATAATTTTAATTTTATCTCTTTACCAGCTCACTATAGGTCACAATTGAGAGGTTTGGAGCCTACCTAAAGTTAGGAGTGACTAAGCCATAGTCAACCACGCTGCAATGCGGTTTGGTTGACTTCACATATATTTGTATTTCTTCGCAGATATGTGCAGGTTGCATCATGATATTTTCCTTCACAGTGATTTTATATTTTGATTTTAATTTGTTGCAGGTATAAAAATGTTTAAATTACTAATTATTTTAACATCTTCACCATTTTTATTCGTCAATTGTAAGCCATCGTGCAAATCTGATAATGGTCAGAAGGATATTGGTTGTGTTGCCGGAGAAAGTGACTACATATTAAAAAGAGGGCTTGTTTCTGACAATAATATAACTACAGGAATAACACTAAAAGCATGTCAAATATCAGATATAGAAAAAGAATCATTCAACGGTCTACCAGCTTTGGAATATTTAGATTTATCTGAGAATAAAATTAAAACCTTAAAACTAGGTGTTTTAGATGGTGCTAAGCAAGTGATGTATTTAAATTTATCTTATAATTTATTAACAGAGTTTGAATTAGGTATATTCGATCAAAAACCTAATTTAAAATTATTAGATTTAAGAGGGAATACGATAAATTTTTTGAGGTTAGGAATTTTTGATGCTTTCAAGAAGTTACAACATTTAGATTTGTCAAGCAATTCTCTTTTGGGTAGAGAAATAAATCCGTACATATTTGATCGCAGTAAGGAAATTAAATTTATCGATTTTTCTAGAAATGATATGTCAGAATCGCCTGATAATCTTTTACATGCATTCCGTGTGTTGGATTTTTTGAATCTCGACAGATGTTTCTTAAAAGAAGTGCCTAGATTTGCGACAATACCTAATTTGAAGAATTTGAAACATTTAATGCTATCTACAAATTTGATAAGTAAAATAGACAATGCTGCAATATTTGTGAATTTGGATAATTTAGAAATATTGAATTTAGCGGAAAATTGCTTGGAATACATTAATGGGAAATCTTTGAAACCGTTAAGAAATTTAAAAATGATCGTATTAAGAGATAATAAATTGAAAATTATACCTGATGATTTGTTTAGAAATTTACCTGTGTTAGGAAATGTGGATTTGTCACACAATGCATTGACAACAGTTCCAGTTAGTATGTTTAAAGGTACTGTTATAAAGAATCTTAATTTGTCTGATAATAAAATAACCTATTTGGAATATAATTTTTGTTTGGAGTTGAAGAATTCTGGAGGGAAGTTATCTCAGTTTTTCTTCAATCAGAACCCATGGCAATGTTCATGTTTAAGGGAGTTACTTCGTGAGGTAAAGGCTCTAAATGTGGGCTATAATTCGGTGAAATATGACGGAAAACACCCTGTATGTGTGACTGATGGTGAATTTGTTTGTCATAGACATGAAGACTATAATGATGTTTATATTAAAATGTTTGAAAACATTATTTCATAGCTTTAAGTTTTATGATCTGTTTTATGCAGTTTACTATAACAATGTAATTTGGCCTTCTGTTGTATTGACTGACTTGAATGTTTGTAATGTAATAAAAGTATGTATTTAGATTTTTAATTTGATATTATTTTATCTTCCACCAATGATCTAAGACTATATAAAAATTATATTTAAATAAAATGTAACATTAAATTCTTGAATTTATTTAAAAGCGCCATCTATGTCACGATAAATACACTACTACAAAAACAAATGCAACGGTATTTCAGAGAACTGCCGCTAGGTGTCGTTATACTGCAATTGCAACATTAATTTAATTGCTTCTATAGTTCGTGAAATGTATTTAAATGTTTATGAATTTTACAATTAAAATATCTATTTAATCTGAATAAACTAACGTAGAAGACAAATAATACTAGTAAATATCGTATTCGATATTTTCTAAAATTTCTGTAACTCAATTCTTATAACATGCACAATGTTTAAAATGTGTGTCGTAAATTCCATATATGTAGTTTAATAATATCGAAAATTCGGTTATAAATATTTTTATTTTATAGTTAATCTAAATTTAAGTTAACATAGCTGTAAAATACAAATAATGAACTATTTTGTATAACGAAGTTCATAAAACCTTTTATCCTTAATGTCTTCACCGTCATAGATTATAAAAGCGTTTAGTTTTAAAAAGCACACAATCTCCATAAATTATCTGTTAAAACATTATCCAAAGAGTTTATAAGCGAAACTGACAGCTGCTAGCGATATTCGCATTCTTCTAAAACAGTTTATTTATAATTAAGGCAAGTTTAGCAATTTTAGACAATTTTATAACCAATGAGACCGCACACACGAGCGGTTTAAAAAAAAGGGAACCCGAAAACCACGTGCAAGAAATTTATAAAATCAACATCTGCGAAATCGGACTTTTTTATCGGGCATTTCTTTTGGTGTTCACTCTACGGATAAAAAACACTTTTTAGAGATCGCATATCGGATAGATTCGGAACACGTACCGCATGTGACGTAGAGATGGCGATATACAGGCTGATTCAAAAAAAGTATTAAATTTCGAGTCAGGTCATGCTGTATATTTTATTAAATTATTGAATCAGAGATATACCATTTTTTCAACAAGAATCAGAAAAAATGTGTTCTCACTAAATTTGATGACAGTAGAAATAAAATTGTGGCTTAATTTGACATTCTGATAATTTCCAACTTTAGTCCCTTTTCCTGCCTACAATTTTTCTTATAAGAGAAGGATATAAGAGAATGTGTATAGGACGGTGGAGGAGACGCATAAGAAGGGGATTTATCCTCTTCATGTGCGTCTTCTCATATTAAAGGTAAGCAACGCAAGTGCTATTGCGGATGTATATGGGCAGCGGTCGCTTTGCCATTTCGGCGAATTCAGGTGGCCGCTTGCTCGTTTGCCACCTTATGATATACTAGCTATTCCCGTGCGGCTTCATCCGCATGAAATTATGAAAATTTTATTTTATTATTTACATTTGTCAAATTATCAATTGCAAATGTCAAAATGACATGACATGACATGACATACCTTGGCAATCTTGCTTTCTTAATGTTGGCAGCAACTTATGGTTTCCTTCCCACGTTAGGGTTTTTATCCAAAAAATTTATCCCCTAAGTTTAATGGCGTGAAAATATATACACAAAAGCGTGACGTAAGTTTAGGGCTTTTTATAAAAAAAAGAATTATTCAAAAATATGCTGTAATTGCGGACATCTTAGGCAACAAAGAAGTGTGTGTTTACGCTTTATTATAATAGTATGGAAGTATAGATAGTATAGATATAATAAAAATTCAATCAATAAACGAATAATTAACAATTAGTCGAATAGAGGTTATAATAGCTGTTAAAATTGTCTTCTAGAATAGAATCTTCTTTCCCATCTAGAGATCGTAGATTGTTGACTTATTACTTAGCATAAAAGTCGCTGTATATTATAATTCCTTTTTATAGCTCGTAAAGATAAAATACCATCATTGATATTGACATTTTACAAGTAAAATGTTTTTTATGTAAGTATATTAGACATATTATAGCTTTAATAGTAAATACCTACATTACTTGTTTCTTGTCATAAAATTTGAACACCTTGTAACATGTATGTCGCCTGGAGTACTGAATTGTTTTATTTCCTACGAGTTATTCGATAAGAAATATAAAAAATAAAGGCATTAAAACAGGGGGTTTTCATTTGTTTTTTATTAATAGCTGTTGTTCGCGACATCGTCCCCGTGAAATTAAAAAAAAACATAGTCTATGTTACTTACAGATAAATTACCTTTCTAATGATGAAAGAATTTTTGAAATCGCTCGAGTAGTTTTTGAGTTATTTCAATACATACAAAAATACAAATCTTTCCGCTTTATAATATTAGTATAGCGTAAAAAAAATATAGAAGTTTCAAACAACCTGTATATGTTTAAAGTTTTGATATCGCAGGTAAGGCGAAACTTTTTTTTTCTAATAAAATGATTCCTCAAAAGCCTTAATTATCTGGCACGAGATCGCACTGTTTTTTACATCGACCCCAACACGCCATTTGGCAGAAAGTTGTTCACCAAAAATTTAGATCATAAATTAAAAATATAATGATCAAAATGGACGACGGGTTATGCAATATCTTTTATACGAGTTTTCTATAGAAATTGCTTTATAAAGTATGCAAGTTTATACGCAGTGATCGTCTGGCGTTGCAATAAGGAAGAACTTCTAAATATCGTTATGGAGGTGATATAGTAAGCGTTTTACCTGTTATACAAGAGGCGAAACTAATCTATTGTTACTAAATTCTTAACCTCCTGATGGTAGATTGTAATAACGTTAAAACAATTAACTCATCCCCATTCTGCCTTTTCTTTACTGAGGGCTGTCACAGTATGTAATTTTCCATACATGACTTTAACAGAATTTACTGCCTTATTCATTTTGTTTCTCACCTATATTTACGAGTACTATCTTACTTCTTACTAATATTATAAATGCGAAAGTTTTGATGGATGGATGGATGGATGTTTGTTAGCGTTTGTAGTCTAAACGGCTGAACGGATCTCCATGAAATTTGGCACAGGTTTAGAGTGTAGCCTGGAAGAACACATAGGCTACTTTTTATCCTGGGAATAGTTACGGTTCCCGTGGGATTCATTAATTTAGTTTTTTAATGTTCACTCGATTATTCTGCAACGATTAAACATATCTTATTGAAATTTGGCAGAGATATAAAACAAAGTCTGGAGTATACATGGGATAAGCTTCATCCCTGAGAAATGTCCAGTTCCCGAGGGATACGAAGCTTTTTGTAATTCATATAGTTAGTATGTTTTCTAATACCACGCGGACGAAGTTGCGGGCAACAGCTCGTTTAAAAATAATTAATTAACACACTTAACCATTCGAGAAAATATTTACGTTAAACTAGCTTTTGCTGTTACGTCCGGACGTAGTCAATTTTTTTTTTCAATTATATTGTAGTAAATTTCACCCGCGATGTCGTCCGCGCGGAATTTAAGAATAAATAGTAAGTAGCCTATGTGTAAAAGCTACAATCGTTTGAACATTTTGAAACGAAACGCGGAACAAAAACCTATACAACGCAGCTTGTAAATGTATGTGTTCTGTACAAAAAGAAGTAGGTTAATGAACATGGCTAGATTATTTTTTTATTATATTAGTAAACTAGCTGTTCCCGTACGACTTCATCCGCATGAAATTATGAAATTTTTATTTCATAAGTGACATTTGTCAAATTATCAATTGCAAATATCAAAATGATATGACACGATGACAAACCATGACACACTTTATCCCACATTAGGGTTTTTATCAAATTTATTTACCCTATAAGTTTAAGAGCGTGAAAATAAAGCCTGGAGTCGCAAGTGTAGGACTCTTTATTAAAGAATTTTTTAAAAACATACTGTGATTGCTGACATCTTACGCCACAATGTGTGTGTTTACGCTTTATTATATTAGAAAACTAACTGTTCCTCGCGGCTTTGCCCGCGTGATTTTAAAAAACCTATGTTAATCACAGATAAATTACCTTTCTAATGGTGAAAGAATTGTCAAAATCGGTCCAGTAGTCTTAGAGTTATGTCAATACATACAAAAATACAAATCTTTCCTCTTTATAATATTAGTATAGATAAATAGGATACCACAGATTTCCGACACTGTACTTGTACCACATCAATTTCTTCGTTTATTATTACGTCTGGGAAAGCATTAACATTGTTCCATCACGTCATGATTATTGCTTTATTAAAATATGTATATGTTAGCGGTAATTGGCTTTGCAGGAAGTAGATTTGCGTCTTTGGGTGCTAATGCATTCCTTGGCTGGATGCCAGGACTAGGAAAAGCCTTGAATACGTATTCACTTATGTTTTGACTTGTAGTAACTTACTATGGCTATTGGGGGTTTAGTTTGAAGGAGCTCTTTGTGAGAATTATAAGCTTCTAACATTTGATGATATCCTGGTCAAGGGCTAGTTTTTTTATTGGGAAAATTATTGTTCTCGTTGTGTCGAAAACGCATACGCTAGTCATGGAGTTTTTTTTCTTTTAAAACATAAAGTGGCAAACGAGCAAGCGGCCACTAGAATCCGCCAAAATGGCGAAGCGACCGCTGCCCAGAGATCCGCAATTGCAGATGCGTTGCCTACCCTTATACGACGGAGGAGGAGACGCACATAAAGTGGAGTTTAAGTTTAAGGAGGAGTTTCAGAAGGCGCCTACTACTAACTAGGGCGTGAATTCTTTATCAAGTAATCGTTGTTTGACTCGGTTTTAGTGGGCAAAAATAATTCTAATTTAGTACCTTCAGATGTTATTCTTCACGTCTAGTATATTAATTTATATTAATTTTTAATCTATTTTTTTAGAATATTAATGGTCTTTGAGAAAGCAAAAGTTGCGGCAGCTGGAGACAGCACGAGCCAAAAGCAGCCGTCAAATTACTGCCGGGTTCAGAAAAAAAGTTAAAAAACCATAGATAAAGCACTCA